ATTGTTGGTGTATATGCTGAATATGCTTCATGAAAGGCAGGTTTCCCTATCAATAAAACCATTTCTGATCCTAAATGTCTTCTTTTCTAAGGTCACATTGTTCTGTTGTCTTACATAATACACAAAACACATCTCCATTTTGTCTCTATTTGCATGTTAGATATTGAGGTACAGCCCCAGTGAAGCGGTGCGCGTCAGTCTGTAATGTTTCTCTCTTTGCTGTGCGTTGATTGGCATGAGATTCCCCGCTGCTGTGTTATTTCCTCCAGCTCTCCTCCTCCACTCCAGCTCTCTCAGCGGGGGGGATCTGACCTCAGTGAGAGCACCCATGGGGCCGCTGAATGCCTCTGTGATTATCAGGGGGGGGGGAAATAAAAAACTACATGCATGTTATGACCAATTTTGGAGGCCTTGGACTCCCTTACATGAAAATGGTATGAAAATATTGAAGCACACCATTCGATTTTTGACTCTTATTAGCTATACCAAAACTATTTAGACGGATAACACTACAGCCAACAAACCAATCACAAATTGAAAGTAAAACACTGCTCTTACTTTCGCAATATGCTATTAAATCATTGTGTATTGAACATTTGGAAATATGTTTGTTGTTGCCAGGGAAAACATGCCAGGTCACTTCATGGGAATTCCTTGACTTAGTTTATTGAATTGGAGTGAGGAAATACAATATGCTCAGCAATTAAGTGGCTTTACTTTTACGTCAGATAATGAGCCTTTAGGTTTAAGATCAACATTGTTCTCTTTCATTTTCCTTTCTCCGATAACCCATCCTACATTCTGGGACATTTTCATTCATTAAAATGCAATTAGGGGCGACCAGCTCCCCCTCACATTATGTAAAACAGACTTTAGTTGTGTGTAAGTGGCAGTATAAAGCCAAGCAATATCAGAGGTGCGTGTGTGCAATAATAAAGTAGTCTCTGTGTTTATAGCTGTTTCTAGGAACAGAAACACTCAGTCAGACGTAAGGAATCGTACAAACGAGATTAACAGCGTACATTTTTGATGGTCTCTCCCTCGTGAGTAAAGTGTGGGAGGAGGCGAATACAGGATTAATATGAATCTCTCTTTCTCTCCAGAGACTCGTGTTCCCTGTGTTACGCTACCAAACGAAATCCCTGAACGATGCACTCATATTCCTCCTGAAATGATCCCGTGCACTCATATTCCTCCTGAAATGATCCCGTGCACTCGTATTCCTCCTGAAATGATCCCGTGCACTCGTATTCCTCCTGAAATGATCCCGTGCACTCATATTCCTCCTGAAATGATCCCGTGCACTCATATTCCAATGCACTTGGAAACACGTCACATTACAGAAGCTGGAAATGCTCCAGCTGTCATTTCTGTGTCTCCAAGTTTCCATATACAGAAAACAGGACTGAGAACAACATATTAAACCAGCTCCTCCTCTCCTGGGATTATGATCTGATTACAAGCCCTCGGTGCCATCATCCATCGTTTAAAAACAGTGCCAGGACAAACTCGCAAGGCCACCACGGCAGAAAATGCTGGGAATGGGCATTAAACGTTTTGGGGAATCCAGTATATGCAGACACACCAGGGAATCCAACTGACGAGTGTTCAATCAAAAACAGATCATTTTGATATGATTGACACATGACTAATCTCACAAAATGCTTTTTTAATGTGCCTGTTCTGCAAATCAGAGTAACAGGACTTATGGGCGGACAGGAGACGAGTCATGTTGGCTGGAACCAAAGTTGTTGACCTGTTGCTTGCTTTGGGTCAAGTGAACTCAGCGTCCCAGAATATGCAGCAAACGGTCACAAACCGAGAGGCAGAGGACTGAAATATGCAACTTAAGGCCATTATAAACTGTTGTTTACACTTTGTCTGCAGTAGAGTTCAGCTGCAAGACAGTATGTTCTCGTAAAAGGTTATAGCATCCATTTACTGACTCACGTCTCTTATAACTCACAAGGGGTAGACTTCAAGAGGAAAATATAGCATTTGCAGAGTTTATTGCTGCAAAGAGTATTATAGCAGAAGATGTTGAATCATAATCTTTCCTTTTAGGGCGATATTCACATATGGCCTCTTGTGCATTTGTGGTTTTCCTAAGCTTCCCATGCTGTCCTCTACCAGGTCCTCTGACTGACTGGCCGCTTGGAGATGTACCCCCCCATTAGCCTATCACGCACATAGTGATGTCACTCTGTTCCTGAAGTAAACAGAGGAGTCCAGTGGAGAGAAACTCCCTCTGGAACACGGGGATGTTAGCCTTTGCAGACCATTTACATGCACTCAAATCTATATAATGCACTACAGGAGAAGGAAAACCCTAAAAAGCAAAAAAGGTCTTCTTTAAAACTACAAACACTGAGTCACGCTTGAGCCTTACTTGTTTGATCCTACACACGTATTTATTTAATATATCCATTTTGATATTGTTTAAGTAATACAGTTCACCAAGATTTGTTTTGAAAGCATTATACACTGCGGCAATTAAATTAAAGCCTGTTTATTTGTGATGAGGGTAAAATCAAATCAAACTTTATTTGTATAGCCCAATATTGCCAACATTGTATATGATGGAGTTACAGCAAAATGAGAAGACAAGATAGTGTGTGGAATACAAATAGAAATATAAGAAAACTAAAACAAAAGACGCTAAAAATACCTAAAACATTCAAATTAATTACCATAAAAATAAAATAAAAACCATAAAATACCAGCTCTAACCGAAGGCAAAACCATTCTCTCCAAACACATCCGTCGAAGACTCATATGTTTGTTACTGCAGAGATGAGGACATGACACAGCCAGAGTGGTGCGAGTCACCCTCTTCTCGGGTGTTTATACGGTGTGAGGCCCCCGGGTTATTGAATCAGCCGGAGAGCAACAACATGGAGAAGGAACAGGAAGTGGGTACGAGATACTGTACAAGACGCCTTGGGTATATTGGAGGCAACGTAGAAAACACAACTTAGATGGGATTTAATTGATGTTACTATTTGTATTATTGCATTTAATTGGGGTTAACTTGTTTCCCTTCCTGGTTGCGGCTCTTTTTTTAAAGACAGAGGGTCATGGGTGAGAAAGAAAACTCAATGCTGTTCACATGCTGTTTACATAAGGAAAGCCTGTCTTGGGATAAGAACAGGTTCCAGACCCCGTGTGTGTGCGTGTGCGTGTGCGTGTGAAACTGTCTTTTTCACAAGAACAAAACAATGCAGCCGTACGCACAAAGAATTTACTTGACATTTAATGGAGAATGACACCGCAAGAGCAGTAAAATGCATTTGACTTAACAGACCTATACTGACGCCGCGCTGCTACCACACAAGACACTATTAGAATAAAACAACATTAGACACATTTATTTGTTTACGCTCTTGTAATCTCTGTCGGATTTTCATGACAAACATCTTTAATACACAGACTAAACCGTCACAGCAACATATTTACTGACTTGCTTGGAGGCAGCATTACCTCTTCCTCTGTTATCTCGTCTATAAAACTCCTTCGGCTGAACCGTAAGAAAAGCAAAATGGGTCTATATGACAGCTAACTGTTTTATTAAATTAAAATGCATCCAGATAAACCTCATAGGACTGGAAGGAAGTACAAATGACTCCTTCTACCCTCCAAAGATCTAATAAAAGAGAATCAAAATATTCATGGGAGAGGTTACACTAAAGGAAAAGCCTCCCTCAGCATCCCCCTCAGTATTTTCCCATCCCTCTCTGTGTGTCGATGTAAAAAGGCAACCTTGGGCTCAGACCTAAACAATGTGACTCTTAGGAGGCTCGTTGCAGGCCTTCCCACAACTTTCCTCCCCGAACTCTCGGACGCTTCCTGTTTGTACAAAAGACTTTGTTGTCTTTGCCATATCTGCTCTGTTAGCTCCTATCAAGAGGAGTGTGGCGGCTACATAAGTTTACATCTTGACAGTCACCCTGTGGGTCACTGATTTCCGTGACGATAAGCAGGAATTGAAGGGCAAAGGTCAATCCAAAACCAGTGTGCTTACAGGTTGTGCTACACGTATTCCTGACTACTTCCACAAACAGTTTATGTGAGAGAAAAAACACGCCTTTGTCCTGCCACACTCTAGTTTTTTGAGTCAGGCTGGCAACCACGATAACAAGGCAGGTCAATTCAGTGTGAGGGATGCAGTAAATATTTTCAGAGCCTTGACGGCAGGGTTGGAGCTAGAGCTGTCCATGACACCTACGCAGCACACTGAGAAAATAAAAAGCTTGTTAAAGTCACATTGGGCGGGTCCCTGCGGGGCCATCTGAGGTGATGGATGTACGCTGGGTGTTTGGGACTGTCAGGAGACAAAGGAATAAGTCCTGTATGTTTGTTATGTCTCCATAAAGCGTGAGAGTCCATTCATTTTCACATGTTATATTATTTAACATCCCACACCATATGTATATCAGTAATAGTATTTGCAACTGAACCACTATGCTACCCTTAATTAAAATAAATCTTTACTACGAGGCTCATATACTGCATATATGTATTCTAACATCATTGTATAATAAATGCAATATTTAAGCATAGCCATTTTATTTAATTAGGCGCCTAATTAAATTGATAAATGTTTTCATAAACATACAGTTCAGCAGGGTTGGTTGGTATACTGTATTATGTATTAAATAGCAAGTCCCTGGTTACATCCTAAATACAATCCTCCCTACAGCAAGAGGATATTGCCAATATCCAAATACCAAAAAGTAAACACAAGATGATTCATATTTTACAAATATGCAAAATCATCACAATTATCATGCAAATATACCTAATAGATCAGCCACATCTAAATATTATAGCATTCCACAACTTCCAAACACTGCATGTCATCAAGAGCTAAGGCCACTAACACATCTGACAGGAAGCAACCGAGAGCCTGTCAGCCAAACATAAACAGCTTAAATGACATGTAAGCACAAAAAGCTAGCTCCTACCTTAATGTAGCTTCGCGGGGATACACACAGACATGAAGAAGTTCAATGGCCCTGAAGCAGCAGTTATTTTCTTGTGAAGACGTCCTGAAGCAACGGAAAGACGACGGTTAGTAAACGTTAGCCATGAGATGCTTCATTAGCATTAGCATTAAGTGTTGTGGCAGTTTGGAGTTAGCTTCATTGCTCCACATTGTTTTTATTGACCACATTATTGTGAAAAGGGAGATTTTCAATATATAAACATAAACTGTATGGTTAAATTATGTTACGGCAAAAAAAATGCACCTTTTAACTTGTTAGAGCCAGTATTCTTGTTTATAAAAAAGGGCCACCTCACCGTGATTTCTGTAGTCAAGTACGTAAAGACTACAATTCCCACGGCGCCTCCTCTAAAGAGACAGAGATGGGCAAACTGTCAGAAAGAAGCCCTCGAGGCACAGTTTTTAACCGTTAAATTACCATGAAGTTACCTTTAAATGACCGTGAAGTTACCTTTAAAGCTACGGAAGCGTATACTTAGAAAGAAAGAAAGACTAACTAAGTTGTTTATTATTCTATTTGAGTTTTGCCTCTTTTGTTTGATTTATTTTGATTATTGTAAAGGCCTGTTTTCTTTGAATGTGTAAAAGGTCTATTTTATTTTCAGGAAACGCAAACACACGTAAGTGGCTTGGATAGAAAGCAAGGAAGGAAGCCACGACATAACTAATGTAGTAATGCTAGTAGTAAGCTAGCTTGACTGCATTATTTTCAACGTATCTTTTCAAATTAGCATCATTGCTCACCTAGCCCCGGTTTGTGCCTCTCGTGTAGTATCTTTACATTCTTATCAGACAGTCAAAAACCTCAGTAATACCCTAAAAGGTAAAGTTGGACTGCTAACATTTTTGTCCTGTCAAACACAGGTGTATCTAATGTCGTTAATTACTGCATTTCATTACAGTGATTGCTGGAACATAATGGTTTGTAATGTAATCAGTTCCACCTGTGAGTTTCCTGCTATGACAAGAACAAATGTCTGCTGTTGGGAAATAATTCATTTGGGAGAAATGAAGCAATGTTTTGTTTTGTATTAGACATAAAACATGTACAAGATTGACATATTGTAGAGGAAAGACTGATGCTCATTAAAACAACATGTCAGCCTGTCTAGCTCTGCAGGTCACTGTCTTTTTACATTTGTGTCTTCTTATGTAAGAAGTTTGGCAACTTGCATTTCAAACAGTTACTAATGAATAACATGTGGGGAAGGAATACATGCATATCATGTTCTTGATCATTTGTTTTAATGAAGTTGGCCCCTAGTTAAAAAATGCACATGTGGATTTTGATGTGAACCACACAGCGACATGTTGTTTATACATGTATAAGATATGACTCTCAATCAATACAGGTGAGCAGTTTACAGTCAAAGCTCAGTCATCAGACCTCACAGAGTATTGTCTTTCTTCAGCAGGTGGCTGTGTGATGGTGTGGCATTTAAGTGCCTGTTTTGCTGTGGTGTAAAAGGTCCGACGTTCCCTGCAGTGTTCTGTGCTGCCAGTAATTACCCCGCTCATCAATTCATTCTAACACAGCTTAAGTGCTAACAGCTTATCTTGTTAGAGTGATTTGATTAGAAGAAGCATTGCCCACTATCACATCTCCAGGGAATTAACACTTGAGATAAAGCCTTGTACTATTTCTCCTAACTCACCCAGAAATGATGTATTAGCCAATACAGTATTCTGGCTGTATTCCTTGGATTTGTACTACAGTTGCATAAGATTCCTAAGTATTGCATAACACTAAGAATGATCTTTTTTTATGTGTTTTGAATTTATTGCCAGGACATAAAGTTTTACTCTGTAAACTCGCCGACCGCAACCTGAATTAAACGCCACCCGTCCATTCTAAAAAGCTCCCATAGGAAAACTTTATTTCCCATCTGCAGATCTCCATTTTAAAATAATCAACATCTGCTTTAGCTTATTCTCGAGGAGTGTAAATCAACGTTGTAGTGCGGGGTGTTGCAACAACATCCTGTCCCTACTGAGAATTATTTGTTTTGTGGAAAATGCAGTGCAGATTCGCTGCTTCATACATAACTCTCTCCTAACTTCCTGAGAGTTCCCGAGGCTCAGATATAGATTTGTTGATAATTCTTGTGGCAGCGAGACCAAGACGATGCAAGTGATACCGTACGGGGGCTCGTTGCTGTGACAGGATACCCAACGAGATAACATTTGCCTAATGGATGATTCTTATCATTCACAGAAATTGAAGACATAATGGAGTCTGATCATAATCCCCTGGAGGTGTAAATGACTCTGTTGCTGAGCTTCAGGCAGAGAGAGATACTGACCTTCTCCCTGCAACCCTCCCTTCCTGAAAAATGACAGGTTTAAAGTAGGGGTGTAACGATAAACAAAAATCTTGGTACCAGTTTAGAACAGCGGGAGAAAAAACAAATGCATGATGGTCTGTTTCTTTTCCTTTGTTTTGGACAAAGTGTAGTGTCAATCACAAAGTTGCCAGTGAGCCAAATGCTACCTCCATCCCCTAGCAAGAGTGCTAGGGGATGGAGGTAGCATTTGGCTCACTGGCAACTTTGTAAAATACAAAACAAAATAATAATTAGCGGGTATAAGAAGTTGGACTTTTGTCCCAGTGATATCTTTTTGGGGCAGCAGTAGCTCAGTCTGCAGGGACTCGGCTTGGGAACCGAAGGGTCGCCGGTTCAAGTCCCGAGTGTAGACTGGTTAGCCTCCACTGCTATCCTTAAGCAAGACGCCAAACCCTCAAATGCTCCTGGGTGCAGGAATAGTGCATGTCTATAGTTCATGATTGTGCGTATTTAAAAAATGTGATCCTAATATTTGCAGTCAAATGTATTTCCTCAACCTACAATGGTGGAACATAACGAACACACCGTCCTTTTTGTTGCTTATCGGAAACCCATAGGCAGGTTTTCTAGCTCCTGAGTTACCATGCTTACCATAGTGTGACTGCATGCACTCCAATCAGCTAATTGTGCTAACCTTGAAACTTGTTGCTAATAGCATACGTATAAAAGTTATCAGGGAGATTGTGTGCTTGTGAAATACTGTGTAACCAATGAACAGTGATACCCAAATTAAGATGGCCCGAATACACCTACCTTTACTAGAATAAAAACATAAGAGCATTTTCATGTCATGTATTTTCAGAAAAGTTTTCCACGTTTTTCCTTTTGACCCCGTGTGACCGATATTCAGCTCAGTAAATGTGGGTCCGTCACACCTGAGTGGGTGAAAGCCACCAAACAGGACCTCTACTCATCACTAAGTGTTTGGTTCTCCTTTCTTTCCTTGTTTGTCTTCTACCCAGGTGATGGCTTTCTTTACCGTCAACACCGTGGACACAGAAACTGAGGGGGATTTAGAGAAGACAGCCACACCGACTCATCCATCACTATCCATGAGGCGGAGAGGTGAGGATGTGACCCACTTCTCAACACTTGTCAACACCTTGGGAAACAGAAGAATGGTGAGAAAGATATATCTTTAGCGCCAAGGAGTGTGTGTGATGGATGTTGCTAAAAATAGAAATCTTACATTACACAATGTCAGGCTTCAAATTCCTCCCTTTCACACCAATCACCAAACTCTTTTATCGCACCTCTTTGGAGTACAGTTTTACCAAGAATTGATCATCCCTCACACACTGAAACAATGCCAGCTTGACTAGTGGAGCTGGGTCACCGTGACATACCTTCACAACAATACATCCAACTCAACAAACGTTTGACAAACAACAACTGTCCGGCTCCACCACGCCAATCTCCCCTCTCTCCAAGCCCCTCTCTCCAGGCCAAGGGCCAACTTGTGGCGGCTATTAATACAGCGTGTCAGCGACAGGTCTAATCACAATCAAAAGCCCTTTCATGCTGTGCAAAGGACAACAGACGAGGGATGAGAAGAGCAGAAGAAGAAGGGAGGTGGTTGAGATATTAAAGTTTAACCAAAGTGCTGCGTGGTTAATTACACGGTAATGCTAAATTAAACGCCCTCGAAAGATTATGCAACAGGCCCCAGATTTGGCACTTTAATCAGCTCTACCTGTCAGATAATATCATATGAAAGACAGAGCGAGTGATTAAAAGCAGACATTAAGGAGAGAGGGTGGTGCTCGGGGAGTAGAGAGGAGGAGGGGTGGTATTGTGTAACATCTTGTGTGTGTGGTTGTTTGTGTGTGCGCACGGAGAGATGGGCCAGGACAATCTGACGATGTAATTCATTCATCATTGCAGTGTGTGTGTGTGTGAGAGAGAGAGAGAGAGAGAGTTGGGGGGGGGGTGTGTGAGTGTGTTTGTGTGTCAGACGGTATTCCTGCTCGTCTCGCTCCACCAGTTAAGTTAAATCAGAGGCAGCCTCTGGCACACCGCGGTGGTCTCTCTATCTCTGCGTCCGTCCCGCTCCGAAAGCATCGACAGCTTCCTGATTCAGCACCACAGGTAAGAGCTCACATTACCTCACCCTCAAGAAGATGTTTGAACAACTTTTTAAACACATTTTTAAGTCTTTAAACTCTTGAAATGTGACTTTTTGTTATAGCTTCTCTCTCAGATTGTAGGGGTTTCCTATATTCTGTTATAATAGCCCTTTTGTTGAGAATTGCTGATATAACCTCGTAAATCCGCACACGAACAAATGCATGGAACAAAACGTCATACTATATTTTTTCACTGGCTTGATCTGTGTCACATGTTTGTCCAACTTGTTCATGTGAAAGTCCTGTGTGTGCAGAGCCTTTTAAACAAATCCTGCAGCACTGTGGCTGGTAGAAAAGTCCAGAAGTTCATGTTTTTAAGACTATTCGAAAGAGAAGGATGGAGTCCTTGGTGAAGTTTACTTTGTCTCATTTCCCCATAGAGGACTTCCTGATAAACAGTAGCTGTTCGCTCACTTTATGAAGAATTTAATCTGGAGGTAGAGAGGAAAATGAGGAGATGGTGGAGAAAACGGTGGAAAAGCAGGGGGAAGAAAAACAGTTGAGGTTTTAATGATCAGCCTTGGGGCTAACCATAGAAGAAGAAATAGAGTTATACTGCAGAATGGATGTTAGGAAAGGAGTCGTGGCTGCTCAACACCAGGGTCTTAAACCATAGGCTTTGTATAGGTTCTTACTTTCCCCACTTACTGTATGTTCGAGATAAATGTTCCTCTTGAGAGGCAGTACACATGTTATTTAATATGACCTCCGGTTGTAGAGAACAAACTATCTCCATGATTGAAAATAAACTGGAGATGAAAGGATTTATCATTTGTCATTTTATGTCAACGCCGGCAGCGTGTTTCCTAAAATACAGTACAGGAAGTGAGGTTAAAGTTTGTGCTGTTGAATTGTGGAAGGCACATCAAAGCGCAGTTTTTGTAAACAGATAAATACAGACATGGTTACTGATGCCAATGCTTCCATTAGCCCGTCTCTGGGAAGAATAAGTCAAGTCCTCATTTAGACCATGGGCACTGGCACTGTCACTGTCACTCACACACACGCGCTTAATCACAATGTTATGCTTTCCTCTGAACATATTTGTTTAAAAAAACGTCAAGTTTGTTTGATTGATGCAATTTCATCTGGCACTATCAAATGTAAGAGTTACTTACAGAGAGTTTGTCAAGTTACCTACTTTAAAAAACTCTTCATCTGAAGTGAGACGCCGTAAAAGATGAGACAGAGGAGGAAGTGAGTTGTAAGAGGATACGTTCAAGATGCACTAAACCCATAGTATCACTCTACATTAAGCACATTAGTCTTACAGTAGATTGCCACTTGTTGGTGGTGGGTAGCTACTGTAGGAATAAACGGATATTCTTGAACATATTCAAAGACGGAGCAGGGCGTACTTTTATTAGTTATTTTATTA